ATTTTTAATGATTATTTCTTTATATATAGTCACCCCGTGAGACTCTCTGATCCTTGCTTTTTCCATTTTTATATTCCTAATAAGTAGCATAGAATCTGTTATATACCAATAATTAGCACTCCGAAAAATTGGAACTCCCAAGGATTTATTGATCTTTGTATCCACAGCATCCAGTACTATACATAGCACAAAGTAGGCACTCAATAAATAGTTGATTAATGAGCAAATGTAATGCCTTTCCCCTCTTGGTTGCTTGATAGACTTTTCAACTTTCCTGTTTAGATGGTAACCCATGTAGCAGAGACTAGATAGATGCTAACTAAATACATTTTCTCTTCTTTCTGGGCATATAGATAGATGGCATTTGCCACCCTTCACCCCTTGCAGTTAGATATGGTATAACTAATTATGGTCAATGGCATGTGGATTAACTTATATTTACTACTTTCAAGCCTGAGCCATAAAACGGTCCCAAAAGAAATGGAAGCAAAGGACTCTGAGGCCCTAATGGGCATGGATATGGCAAATTGCATCATTATTTTGAATTGTTCACTTATCCATCCTTCAGTCAGCTGACTCAGCCCTACCCATGGCCATGAGATCTTCCTTACCTCCCATAGGGTAGTTTACCTTCCCATCACATTGACTTTAGCCTTGATTATGTGCCAAAGCCTTAACCAAGATAATGAAAGTAGCAATAGTTTATGTCACGTCTAAGTTTTAAGAGGCATCACGTGAGCCCCCAAATAAACCCACACATATTCAGTCAACTAATTTTTCATGAGCGCACTAAAAATACAAAATGGGGAAAGAATAGTTTCATCAATAAATAGTGCGAAGCAAACTGGACATCCCCATGAAAAACAATGAAATTGGGCCGATCACTTATAGCATACACAATCAACTCAAAATGGATTTAAGACTTAATTGTAAGACCTGAAATAGTGAAGCTCCTAGAAGAAATATAAAGAAAAAGCTCTTAACCTTGGTCTTGGTAATGATTTTTTATATATGAAACAAAAAACTCAAGAAAAAAATACAAAAATAAATAAGTAGCATTATATAAAACTGAAAAGCTTCTGCTCAGGAAAGGAAACAATTCATCATCAAAAATGAAAGGGCAATCAATAGAATGAGAGAAAATATTTGTAAACCACATATATGATAATGGGTTAATATGAAATATATAATGTACCCCTAAAAAAAAAGCAAGAAAAGCCAAATACTAAATTTAAAAATGGCCAAAAGACCTGAATCGGCATTTCTCCAAAGAAGACATATGAATGGCCAACAGGTATATGAAAAGGTGCTCAACATCACAAGTCATTAGGGAAATATAAATCAAAACCACAGTGTGATATCACATCACACTCACTAACAAAAGATTAACTCGTGTTGGCAAGGATGTGGAGAAAAAGGAACCCTGGTATACTATTGGCAGGAATGTATATTCCATTATGAAAAACAGTATGGAGGTTCCTCAAACAATTAAAAATGGAACTACCAAGCTTGGCGCCTGTAGCTCAGCAGCTAGCATGCCAGCCACATATGCCAGAGTTGGCAGCTTCGAACTCAGTCCAGGCCTCCTAAACAACAATGACAACTACAACCAAAAGATAGCCAGGCATTGTGGCAGGTGACTATAGTCCCAGCTACTTAGGAGGCTGAGGCAAGAGAATCACTTAAAACCAAGAGTTTGAGGTTGCTGTGAGTTGGGATACCATGGCACTCTACCAAGGGCAAAATAGTGAAACTCTGTCTCAAAAAATAAAAATAATAATAAAATAAAACATTAAAAATAAAAATGGAACTACCATACGACCCAGCAGTCCCACGTCTGGGTATCTGTCCAATGGAATTGAAATCAGGATCTTGAAGAGCTAACTCACTACCACATTCACTAGAGCCTTACTGGCAATAGCCAAAGCATGGAAACGACCTAAATGTCCATAGATGGATAAAGAAAATGCAGTCACATGTACTCACACACCCATACACAATCGAATATCATTCAGCCTTCAAAAAAAAGGAAATATAGCCATTTTCAACAACATGAATAAACTTGGAGGACATTATGCTAAGAGAAACAAGCCAGACACAGAAAGACAAATATGGCATAATTGCATTTTTATGTATAAAATGAAATAGTTAAACTAATAGAAACAAGGAGAATGGTGTTTGCCAAAGGCTGGGAAGAGGGGAAAATGATGACCAAAGGCTACAAAGTTTCAGAGATGCAAGAAAATTAAGTTGTGGAGATTTACCATATAGATTAGTGCCTACGGCTAATAACAGTCTAATTGTATACAGTAAATCTTCTGTTAAGTGTTCTGAACCCATATATACACAAAATATTATTATAATAATAAAGGAGGCAGGGGAAACTTTGGGAGATGGTGGATATGTCTATGACCTTGATAGTTTCATGCTATATACTTTGTATATACTATCCTCAAACTCATAGAGTTGCATACATTAAATAAGAAAAATAAAGAGGCATCATAAGTTTCCTCCTGCCTCTGTTGCTCTTTCCTTCTGTGACAATAATGGGGATGCCCTACACAGAAGATATTTCTTCAGCCTGGGTCCCCAAAAGAGAAGACACATAAGGCCAAGACACAGCCTGGAAGAGAGCCATAGCCAGAGTGCAGCCTATATGTAAAATGAGTAAGAAAGAAACCTTCACTACTATAAACCACTAGAACTTCATTTTCTTTGTTTTTAAGTGCAGCAAAACTGATTAATACAATCATGACTCCAAATGATAAAAATCATGGATTTTGAGTCACTACTTGGACAATAGCAGCTTGGAAATTCATCCAACCAGGTGCACCTGTGTTGGGCATGAGTGAGAAATAAACTTTACTGTCTAACCCACTGAAATGCTAGGACTGTTTGTTTCTCTGATTGATACATTTTCTCTGGGATGTCTTTCCTGATAACCAGAATAAATCATTCCGTACTCAGTTTCTGTACTTTGTGCCTACCTTTATTATTGTACATATCACACTATTAAATCAGGCAGTCCCCAAGTTACAAACATCCAACTTACATACAACATGCACTTATGAATGGAGGCTATTATAAGTAATAGGTAAATGTACCTGTTCCAACTTACAAACAAATTCAACTTTTTTATTTTTATTTATTTATTTTTTTGAGACAGGGTCTCACTATGTTGCCCTTGGTAGAATGCCATGGTGTCACAGCTCGTAGCAACCTCCAACTCTTGGGCTTAAGCAATTCTCTTGCCTTAGCCTCCCAAGTAGCTGGGACTACAGGTGCCCACCACAACACCTGGCTATTTTTTTATTGTTGTTATCATTGTTGCTTGGCAGGCCCGGCCTGGGCTTGAACCTGCCACCTTAGGTGTTTGTGGCTAGTGCCCTAGCTGCTGAGCTGCAGGTGCTGAGCCAACTCAAAAACAATTCTACCTATCTTGTTTGTAACCCAGGGACTGCTTGTAGCACTTTTTAATTTAATTTAATTTTATTTTTTGAGACAGACTCTCACTTTGTCACCCTTGGTAGAATGCTATGGTATCATAGCTCACAACAACCTCAAACTCCTGGGTTGAAGTGATTCTCTTGCCTCAGCCTCCCAAGAGGCTGGGACTACAGGTGCCTACCACGATGCCCAGCTATTTTTAGAAACGAGGTCTCCCTCTGGCTCAGACTGGTCTTGAACCTGTGAGCTCAGGCGATCCACCCACCTTGGCCCCCCAGAATGCTTGGATTACAGGTGTGAGCCACTGCGCCTGGCCCTGTAGCACTATTTTGTACAACAGTTTCACCTGCTAGTCTGTAAGTTCCTTAAGAGCAGAGATGCTGTCTAATCACCTTTGAATCCCAGCACATTGTAATATGTTCATTTATAATTAAGTGCTCTGAGTACAACATATCAGTGGTTAATAACACTCATCCCAAAATATTAATACTTTTAAAGTCAATGAAAATATATGTCTCTTTCCATTACAGTGTTCCTGTAATATTATTGCTTTGGGAGTGGGTGAATAAAGATTGGTAAATAAGGACTAATTCATTGAATACGTTAAAAACTGCCAAACCGGAACTGCCAAAACTCAAACAGGATTGTGAGATCACAAATTGTCATTAACCTAAAACCTCAAACTATATAGCTAGTACAAAAATAATGAGTTATTTCCCAAAGTAACACATATAATCAATCCATACCTGATTTCTCTGCTTTTCAACTTCATCCTCAGACGTGCAGTTGGAGAGAACCTCAGACCATTCCAGCCGTTTCTCAGGTGTCTTCATCGAAAGACTATCAAATATTTCGAAGTAAAGCCACGCCAGGTCCTTAGCCAACTGTAGCTTCCCACATGCAATGTGCCTCCATGTAGACCAGTAGAGGCGTGGATAAGCTCCCTCTGTGGCCCGAGTTCGCACATAGGTGGATATCTTCCTGAGATAGTGAAGACTAAACTTGGATGGAGGGGGGACCTGTAAGGCACCCACTATAAAGGGTTCTGCTTTCACCCAGAGGAGAACTCCGGACTGATCCATATTATCTCTACAATTATTATTTCACATCTGGGTGAAAAGGCTTCTTTGCATACCTAGGAAACAAAGTTTCTTCACAAACTGATTTGAAACATATTTTATTTATACATTTTCTTGGAAGGGGACCCTTCCCTTAACTGTATTAAATGTACTGTATTAAATGTATCAACTTAAAAGGTAGCTCTAATTCATCAACCAAGAGAAGAATAAATTTTTGGTCCCATCTCATTACAGTCCATTTGAACCCTCCTCCCCAATTGTGATAAAATTATTTTACATAAAGTGTTAGAAATGGTTATTTTAGGAAGACTGTGTAAATGCATGCTTAGGGAAGGAAGAAAAGAAGGAATGGAAGGTAGGGCGGAGTAATCTATGACAGAAAAACTTGCTCTACCCTGAGAAGGGTCAAAATAAGGGGACTAAAATTTCAAGGTTAAATCACTTCTGGGCGGTGCCTGTGGCTCAGTGGATAGGGCGCTGGCCCCATATACTGAGGGTGGCAGGTTCAAACTTGGCCCTGGCCAAACTGCAACAAAAAAATAGCCAAGCATTGTGGCAGGCGCCTATAGTCTCAGCTACTTGGGAGGCTGAGGCAAGAGAATCGCCTAAGCCCAGGAGTTGGAGGTTGTTGTGAGCTGTGATGCCATAGCACTCTACTGAGGGTGATGAAATGAGACTCTGTCTAAAAAAAAAAAAAAGTTAAATCACTTCCACATACAAGACAATTGGTTAAAAATCTGGATGTGTTACCTAACCATAAAAAGTTCAATGTAAGGTACCAGATGAGAATGCTAATATAAAAATAGGCTACAAATACAAAAAGATCAAGAGAAGTTAAAGCAAATTTATTCTCAATATCACTGAACCAACTCTGAAATATTGTATCATGCTTAGTTCAGGTGTAGTATTTTTGGATTGTGTTTGTTGTTTCATTGTTATAACAATGATACATGATTTTTATGGAATATTTACAAAACATCTAAAAATATGAGGGGAATTATCTATGTTAAACCATCACTAAAGGGCAACTAACTAGTATTTTACATTCCTTCCCTCTTGTCTTTTTTCTACACATAGATTAGATGTTAGTTTGTTTTTGAATTTTCATAGTTGTGATAATATCACATATATAATTCTGTATTACTTTAAAAGCTTCAGAGCATTCTGGCCAGGTATGGTGGCTCACACCTATATCAAGCACTTTGGGATTCTGAGGCAGAAGGATTGCTTGAGACCAAGAGTTCAAGATCAGCCTGAACAACAAAGTGAGACCCCCATCTCTATAAAAAATGGAAAAATTATCTGAGTATGGTAACAGTGCCTATATTCCCAGCTACTGGGAAGGCTGAGGCAGAAGGATTGTATGTCGTGGGAGTTCAAGGCTGCAGTGAGCTATGATTATGCTATTGCTCTCTCTACTTGGGTGACAGAACAAGAACTGTCAGAAAACAAAAACACAAACAAATGAAAGCTTCATAGCATTCTAAATAAACATATCCCAATTTAATCAACTGTTCTCCCAGGTTTTGATACTTAGTAGGTTTAAGAATTCTCATGAAAACAAGATAGGCAGGCCAGGCATGGTGGCTCATGCCTGTAATCCTAACACTCTGGGAGGCCAAGGTGGGAAGACCGCCTGAGCTCAGGAGTTAGAGACCAGCCTGAGCAAGAATAAGACTCCATCTCTACTGAAAAAAATAAATAAATAAATAAAGCTGGCCTGGTGTTGCATGACTGTAGTCCAAGCTACTCAGGAGGCTGAGGCAAGAGGATCTGTTGAACTCAAGAGTTTGAGATTGCTCTAAGCCAGTGGTTCTCAACCTTCCTAATGCCTCAACCCTTTAATACAGTTCCTCATGTTCCTCATTATTTCCTCAATGAAAATAATTTTATGGTTGGGGGTCACCACAACATGAGGAACTATACTAAAGTCATAGCATTAAGAGGGTTGAGAACCACTGCTCTAAGCAATGGCACTATGGCCTCCACTCAGGTCAACAGAGGGAAACTTTGTCTGAAAAAAAAAAA